CACCCCAAAAAAAAATGGAGCAGGGCTATAGAATAACTTTGATTTTAACTATATTAAGAGAGTTATCGCTTTGTAGAAATCAAAACTAATTGTATGATCTTCTTTGACAGAAGCAACTTCTGATATCTTGCCGATAGAGATCAATCTCAAAGACATTTTCTCACACTGAATAAAATCACATTTTGCTCCAAGAAAGTGATTGCCCAATTGGAACTTCACAATATACAAAACTACACATTTGATGTATAGAACACATATAATGAATCATTTCCCCTATAGTTCTTCATGACATCATCAAGATTTTTTACACAGCTTATATTTACAAATATTGCATAAAACTGAAATCCTTTAAGAAATCGAAATCCTAGTTCATTTATAAGCCCAACATCATAAAGAACACATATCACAACAAAACCAACACCTAATAAGCAAACTAAACTTAAATCTATCTTAACATTTACACACTTAAAACCCAAATGACATGTTATCTAGTACTCCTAAGCAAATATTAGGGGAAAAAAATACACAATTTATCACTCAATTGTTCAATTCCAAACAAAATTCACAAAAATCGTCAATTCTAACATACAAATGGTAAGAAAATAAATGAACAAAGGGAATGGAGAATATATAGGGCTTACTGGGTTTGGCCGCCCAGCCCTGTTCACCGCCCTTGATTTTCTCCGGCAGGGCGTAATTGACTGTGAGGACTCGGCCGTAGAGCTCGGCGCCGTCCATATTGTCCATGGCGGCGGCGGCGTCCTCTCGCTCGAGGAAAGTGACGAAGCCGAAGGAGCGGTGCTTCTGCGTGGCCTGGTCGAGTGGGGTTTTGACGTCCTTGATGTCTCCGAAGGGGATGAAGGCGGCGTGTAGAATACTCTCGTTCACCTCCTCCGCCAGGCCGCCGACGTACAGCGTGTTCTTCTGCACCAGCTCGTTCATCTTCACAAAAATCGGCGTGTGGTGTGTGGGTGGTGTGTGTGAAATCCGCCATTGACGGTGGCCGAGTTTGAGGGTTCTTATAGCGGATTGGGTTGAAATCTCGATTATACCCCTCGAAGTTTTGGGGATGTTATTATTCAAATAGCTTCATATCTATGTGTTATTTTGCACATGCTAATTTTCCTTTTGTGTTTTGGTGCAATTTTAATTTGTATGTTTTGGTTACATGATGATTTAACGGTTACAAATTCTGACATAATAATTCAATAACGAAACTGTATCATTTCACTTTAATTTTAATTTAATATTTTTCACTCTGTCGTAATTTTTTGATAACATTCAGAACTTTTTTGTAGGGGTTAAGTTAGTCAACCCGTGACAATTTTTTAATAACAAATGTATAAGTCGTTATAAAATATAATTTTTTGTATGACATTTGAGTTCGATGATATTCTTCATATTTGTTGAAAAAATATGAAATTTCACAAGTTCTACTTAATATACAATGTGTATTTTAACAATCAAATATTCTTGATAAAAAAACTTTACTAGGATTGCTTTACTTGAAAATATTATTTAATTTTATTGGGTTAAATATAACTTATAAGGTCAAGCAAAAGCTAGAGGAAATGCCAAAATAGAATAAATCATTATGCAACATATCATCTAAAAAATTATTATATATGGTATGTATGTACCAAGAATTTCTAATGAATACTTCAGAAATGAAGATCACCACAAAATCAACAACCAAAGACAAGGGATGCTCAAATTTACTATCACAATCACCACCAACAAAAATCAATTTACCAAAATCCAAAATTTAAAGCTTTGAAATAAGGATATTTTA